ACATGGCATTAATTCCAAGGGTTGCCTACGGGTTTTCCGAGGTAATTCTGCCATTTTCATTACCGGCCGCCACATTCTCATCCCAAGTGGTGGCTGTTGAAGGAAATGACGGAATTGATGATCAATTCATGCCAGAAACCCTGGGAATTATAGTAATTTCATGTCAATTTCAAGAATCCTCAAGGGAAAGCTCGGCCACGCCGAAAATTCCGCGAGATGGGCGTCTAAATCTTTCGAGTGAAAAGCAGAAAGCTGCCAGGGTAACTTTTGCAAGATTTTTCTGAGAAATATGTCGAACAGGGCTGACATTTTTCTTGTGCCAAAGAAGGCTTTAAAAAACAAACAATAATTGCTTTTCAGTACAATCACGCGCTGTTCCGATTATTGTCCCGAAAACTTTTGTTGAACCCCTGGTATATTTCTCACCGTTCGAGCGATCAATAGCAAGCCGCACTCTGTACCATTTGAATGCCGTTGAGTGGTTACTTTTTTAGTGCTTGCAACAGAAAAAAAAAATCCCGAATTTTCGCTGGGGCGATGAAATTATTGTCACGGTTTATTTCTCGGGATACATGTGACCTAAAAGCAGGCTCCATTATGATCATGCACATTTTAAAAATTAATGCTTTCAAAAAGTTGCTGTTTGTCTGTTTAATAGCCACGATGTGGCTCTAATTCCGTCTTAACGAATTTTGGTTCATAACGAAGCTTCCTCAGGGTCCAAATGCGACGTGTTGAAGAGATTCTACTGTTTGTAATGGAGGTCGGCTTTTTGCGCGAAATACAGTAAAATATTAAGAATTTAGTCAGATTACTGCATGTGTTTTGACCTGCTCAAGCAGAAATGTACTGTATTGGGTTAATTTCTACTTAATACTGTAAGTGTATACGAAAAAATTCCGATTTTTCAACAGTATGGAAATAAGGAAGAATCTACGCGCAGAACCAATTTCCTTCTCAGTCTATCCGAGCAGGATTCCAGAGAATTCAGTTTACATGTTCAGCTACAGCTTGGTGGAATTTTGGTTTTAGTTTTTTTCGTGCGCAAAATCAAAATGCGACGGTTTTAATATTTCCACTCGACCGCATATTTTCGAGTGCTTGCGACGAATCTCGTTTTTAACGGATAATTTATTGCGACAAATGTTTTTTTTTCTTCTAAGTCCCTCCTCGATAGCTGCAATATTGATCTACTTGTAATTTCTTTATAATGAATTTTTCGGTATAACGAGACCGTTTTATTGGCTTCCTTGATGGAGAGATATTACTTTTTCAAAGCATTTTAAAATAAAACCAATCTTGGCAACCATGTTCATTATGAAATTCTAAAAGAAAAGCAAAACTGACGAACATTATCACTAATATAAAATGCTGAAAGGCATCCAAAACTCACGAACAGAATTGCAGTATTGTCAAATTTCAAAAAAATAAAAAATTCGCTAACATAATTACTACAGATAGTCTCTCTCTCCCTCTTTATGCATCGATCTTGTCTACAACGATTTTCTCTTGGTCCCCTGAATTTCTTCGTAGAGAGAGATAGAGTCCATCGGTATGAAATTCTGAAGAAATAGCAAAACTCACGAAAACAAGTGCTGTATTTGAAATTCGAAGAGAAAACCAAGAGTAACCCGAGACTCGCATGCATGAGTGCTGTATTTAAAAATCGTATGAAACACCACAACTCCCGAACATAATCATTTTAAATTCTAGAAGAGCACCAAAACTCAGACATAATGCTTTGAAAAAAAAAAGCCAAGATTTTCGCTCCTTCCCCAAGTGCTCTGAAATGTGAAAGCGCTGCGCAAACTCGACGTAAGGTAACCCTCATATGCCTCCGGCCAAAAAAAAAAAAAAAAAAAAAAAAAAAAAAAAAAAAAAAAAAAAAAAAATAAAAAAAAAAAAAAAAAAAAAAAAAAAAAAAATCAGTGGTACTGGCCGGTACTAATTCTTCACCCCGCTCTGCTCGATTCTCCTTTCCAGCCCTACACGCCCTCTGGTCAGACGCCGTACCTCACCCCGTACTCGACCCCCCGTCACGGCACGCAGCACCCGTCGTCCCAGTCGCAGCGGGTGACGACGGCGGCGGCGGCACCAGCGCCGTCCTCCGTCTCCGTTCCTTCTTCCTTCGACCGTCACTCGCAGTCCAAGTACAATCCGAGTGGGTGGACGGGTGGTGCTTCGCATCAGCGCCAGGGCGACAACCAGCGTCGTCCTTCGTATTATACGAGTAGTAGTAGTGGTGGTGGTGGTGGTGGTGGTCAGTCCCAGGTGCGCCAGCAGCAGCAGCAACAGCCTCATCGTCAACAACAACAACAGCAGCAACGTGTGGCTGGAGGGAACTCGAGAATGCATCCACAGTGAGTTATTGTGTTCGGTTTCGAGGAAAATTATTATTTTAAGCAAGCCGCACTCTGTACCATTCAGATGCCGTCGAGTGGTTACTTTTTTAGCGCTTGCGACAGAGAAGAAAAGCTCCCGACCTTTCGCTGGGGCAACGAAATTATTGCCGCGGTTTATTTATCGGGGCACATGTGTGATCTAGGAATTTTTTATGTTCAGGCAATTGTCAAGACCAGCTAGTTTTCCGAAATAAACAAGGTACAGTTTGTAATTTTAATTCCCTTGGGCTTATCGAGTCGGTCCAATTTTCAACGGACATTGATGATACATTGATTTGTTGATTGAATTTGAGATGGGGGATTTGTGTTTAGTGCGATGTTCCATCACCAATATTTTGAGTTTGAATACTTTGAAGAATAATGAGAAGGACGTTTTTTGGAAATTTTCCTTTTCAAAGCAAGTACAGTTCATTTTTTCGAGCAAGTCCTTCTGCGGATCTTTGATTTTTTTCTCTCGAGGGTAAAACCCCTTGGATTTTGAAGAAAAAGTGAAATCCTTTGTTCCGAGGGAAAAAAAAAGGGAAATAATTTTTTTTTTTCGAGCTGTAACAGTCGAAGGGAAGGAAATGTTCCTGTCGTGTGCAAGTGGTTTTAATGCAGTAGACCAGCTATTGCTTCCAATTTCAGTGAATTTTTCAAATATTTGTGTCAATTCACTCCGGCGAATGTAAATCCCTGCTTGAATTTTACCTTCTGGGTAGGGGTCATTTCACGAGGTGGTTTCCGGAGAAAATATGACTTGTAAAATGAATGAATAGGTTCTACGACGATTTCTCAAGTGGGAGAATTTGATTTTGGTTCCATCGGCGTTTCTCCACGTGTTATTTTCTTTCTTGTATCTTGTATCCTGAATTTCGTTGTAGAAAGCGTTAGTTCATCTGTCGAAATTTGCAATGCAGTCGAAGTTCTTCAAGTCGTACTTCAGGGGGCAGCAAAAAAATGGTTGCAGGAAATTGAAATCAGTATTATTTAAGGCCTTAATTTCTTCTTGAAAGAGTTGACTGCAGATGCTGGAATTGGAATTGGCAAGGGTTCATTCGCCTAATTAGTTTTTCACTTCCTTTCAATCTTTCAAAAACACGTCCCGTTACAGTTCTTATCGTTTTTCTCTTCCCTGTGTCAATCAAGTGATAGCCGAAAAGACCTCCGGAAAATTCTAGTTTTTGATGTTGGACGAGAAAAGCCTTGGAGTTAATGACGTTTTGTTTATTGGGGAATCCAGACGACAGGGACTCGAAAAAATAAATTGACCTTGTGAGGTTTTGAAGTTATTGAGGTTCAACCGTCTTTTCTTTTGTTGGGAATTTTGTTATTAAATCTTTTTTTTTTATTCACTCTCTTTTTTGCAGAGTGACGTCGCACGACCCGAACCATTGGCACCAGGCGGCTAGTGCCTGGGCTCACCGGGCTTCGAAGCCTCCAGGCTCCCGCACCCCGAGGTAAATAGCCAATTTAAATTACAGTATCTCATCATTGAACCCGAGGGAAATTGAGTTTTAATGATGTGTTTCCCTTCTTTCTTTTTTCTTCTTTGGAACAGAACACCCGCGTATGAAGATCGAGGGCCGTCGACACCCGTGGCTGCACCAGCGTATGACGACGGGACTCCTTTGTATGATGAATAAATGTCGTGGACAGCTGACCTCGAGTTTTGTCTCGTTCCTCGCTCCCCATGTTCAATCTCTCTTGCTGCTCCTGCTACTTATTATCCTGGATATGCCACTTAGGCCGTTGTTTCATGATCCCAAGCGTACCTGGTTGCGGTTTGGTCGGTGTGTTCCGAGAATGCCAGGCTGTGATGACAGGACGCGTTTTTTGGTTGGCTGTTTTCCTCCTTTGATTTTTTCTTCTTCATTTTTTTCTGTAAAGTTGACAATCCGAATTCCCCGTCTTTCTCTCTCTCTCACACTCTTTCTCCTCGACGAGCTCTTCTCGTGCTTTGTGCAGTTGTTCTTTTTTTTTTTTTTGAGCATTGTATTTGAAGTGTGTGGATGGATGGTCAGAATGACACGTGCTTTCGCGGGCAGCTCTGTTGATCATTTCATTTCGATTGTGTTGATTCCTTGCTTGTATAGAGATCCAAAGATTGTCTCAGTCCGACGCGACCTCTGATGATATTTTTAGAGCAGGTGTGATGGTGAAAAAAAAAACATGACGTATCGCATAATGTTCTGAAGTTCTAGGATTTTTTTTTTTCCAGATTTGAAATATTTTCTTCTATTTACTGCATGATTATGGGTGAAAACTTTCGAGTTGCCAGAAAGAGTTCTTCACCAATATCACAAGGTGTTGCAAATTTGTTAGTCCAGCTAAAAAATGAAATTTTTTTCTACATTTTTTTTTATATAATAATTAAAACAATGACCAAATGCAATTATTTAGCTAGCCTGACCCCTGGATAGTTGTAACTCATCTTCTTTCAGTAAATTGAAACACGTTTTCAAAAATCCGAGAACCCTGGAACATTATGGGCTATGTCATTAAGGAATTTTTTTTACCATCACATCTGCTCTGAAGATGTCAGAGGTTGTGTCCTGCTGGGACAACTCTTGTATTAAATTTGTGGTGATAGTTTTGCATTAGTTGAACGTTAGAAAGAGAAGAAGCCTGTATTAGTTCTGGTAAGTTCTCCAATGCTTGGACTCCCTGCACGAACTGATTTAATCTCTTGCTGGGTTCATTCTTTTTTATCATTTCAGGTTGCCGCCGAAAGTGTGAGAAAATGTGGTCAATTCGCGCTGTTAACTGTAGGGTATTCAGCTCAGCGAGGCCTCCGTGTTTTTTGTTTTGCTTTGTTCGTGCAATAATGAAAAAAGTGACCTTTTCTCGAATCAGGGAAGATTTTCGTGCAAATGGCTGAGTTCTCCAAGTCTTGGGATTCATGTTTGGTTTTCATCATTTTTCCGTGGTAGTTGGAGAGAGCGAAGATTCGAAGCCAGCGTTCCGGCGTGAAAGGAACTTCGGAGAGAACATTAACCATATTCACTCAAGTACCGTTTGCTCTCTTTTTTCAAAATTGAGATGAGGAATGAGGGTGTGTGTCATCGTGTGTGGTAAAAATATTGAAAGTCTTTCAAAGCGTTGGTGTGAATCATACTCGATTCCAATAAGGAATTTTAACCATTTTCAACCGCAAAATTGTATGATGGATAATCAACATTCGATGTGACTGCAATCCAAGTCAAAATTTAAATTCTGACGTACAGTTGAGTATTGTTCCATTGAACTCTCAGTAGTGACATGAGAATAATGTTATGAATAGCTTCGTGGTTTTTTGAGCATTTATGACTGACATACAGTGAGAAACAGCAGTTCATCATGCATTCATGCCTTAAAGAACTTCCACCCACGACAGATGTGAGAAGATTTGCCATCATTTCCAAGTATACTTAGGATGGAATAATATAAGAAAATCAAATTGTGAAATACGAGCTCATATTTCAGACCTTTTCCTTCTTGGAACTCCTCAAAATATACTGATCTTCCTGAGGTATAAGCTAAAGCAAGCAGAAAAGTATTCATCAACAACTGTATGTCCATTGAAATAGAGGAGTTCCGTTTCAAGCATACATTTTTAATTCGGAATTTCGAAGTGTTGAAACAAAGGTAGATACAATTCGATTATAAATTCATATTTCAAAGCTAAAACCTGTTACACTGACGCAATGAGATTATGCAGGAAAGCTTGTTCATTTTATTGAGCTTTTTTTAGATTGTCCCCACAAACTGGGGACACGAAAAAAATTCGGCATAATGACGTTTGCTGTAGAATTTAACTGTATTTCATTTTCGAAATATTTACATTTTATAGTCTTGAAATAATGGGTTTACCTGTCCAAATTTTAGGCTCTAAAATTCAGGTCCATGCCTTTTGTGAGAGCAAGTGGTACTTGTGTAAATAAGGTACACTAACTGACGAAGCATTTTCTCAAGATTTATCTGCTCTTTTTTTCAGGAAAGCAAGTACCCAGTTACATTCCATCCAGGTGACATAGAAATCAGAAAGGAGTTGAAAGTCGTTTTTCTGCGAAGCATTGTTTCTTCAAACAGTCTCGTCATTTTAGTTCGTTGAAAACTTCCGACCGGAAATGAGGGGAATCGCGGGCATTTCGTTTCTGTGGCTGTTGAGCATTTGTCCTTTCGTTCTGGGGACCAACTCCAAGGGTCTTGTTGCCTTGGACGAGTTGAGCTTTCACAAGGCGAGTACATGAGATTTTAAATTCATTTGGGGTCCAATTTAAAACGGTAGAACCTAGAACCTAACCAAGTCGAAATTTTTTCAAGTCCCTGTCTCCATTCCCTTGGAAACAACGTACAGTACTGTATTGAAAACCTTTCTTACTCGAAGGCTATTCCTCTGAAACCTCCATAACTCAAATTTTCTGAGCCCTTTTGGCTATTGAATTTTTAATGAAGGAAAGAAAAAAAAGGAACAGTTTTTTTTTTAAAGGTAGATGAAAACTGATTGGGCAAGGGAACCCTTGCCTCCACATGTCACCATATAAAATTTCATAGAATTCTTGGTTCTTTTCCACAACAAAAATGCTTACTTCCCTCACTGGAATTATAATTTTTTTTGCGGTTCTCGTGAAATTTGAATCGAAGATTTTCAATTGTAGAACGAATTCACTGTCATTTTTCCCGTATCAAAACTCAGAAGTAATATGTACAGTATTTATGTATGTATGTAATTATAGATTGCTGGGAAATTCCGCGTGGTGTTCGTCAAGTTCGACGTGGCTTATCCGTACGGAGAGAAACACGAGAACTTCGCCAAACTCGCCGACGCAGCCAAAGACATTGACGATGTTCTGATTGCCGAAGTCCCAGTCAAGGACTACGGCGAGAAGGAAAACGAGGACTTTGCCAAAAAATTCGGAGTCGACACCAAGAACTTCCCGCAGGCGAGACTCTTTCTGAATGCCGACTTGGAGCACCCCATAAAATTCGAGGGCAACTTTGAGGAAGCGGATTTGCGTCAGTTTTTGAAGTCCGAAGGCCGGGTGTGGATCGGGCTGCCGGATTGCGTGGAGGCATTTGATGCCCTGGCCCTCGAGTTTACTCGTACGACGGACGAAGTGAGCAGGCAGAGGGTTTTGGCTCGTGCTGCCGAGGCCATGGCGAAAGAGGATCGGGAGTCGGCCAAGAAATCTGCAGAGACGTACATCAAGGTGATGCAGAAAATGATGTCTGTGGGCGACGACTTTGTGGGGAGTGAGGAGAAGAGGATCAAGAAGCTCTTGGCGGGGAAAATCACGGATGAGAAGAAGAAGGAGTTGAAGAAGCGCATGAATATTCTGTTGTCGTTCCTCTCTCATCAGGATGGGAGAGACGAGTTGTGAATCATTGGTCCTTAGCAGCAAGGAATTCACGATTTCTTGGGATTTATTTATTTTTTTGGTGCAGTTGGGAGTGCAAAAAAATGGGGGCAAAATGAATCTGAATTTTGCACGGGATCTACTCCTGTTGTCGTTACTCTTTGTTTGATCTTCATTCATTTATTTATTTATTTCCCCGTTGTTGATGTAATGAGGAACACATGTGGCTACAGTTTTCATCCAAAATTCTGCTGTTTTTCCGCGTTGATTTGTCAAGAATTGATTGTTATCACTCTACTGCTCATTTTTTCATTTGTTCGTGTACCTGCTAAGTAGCAATGGTCTGCAGACCAGTGCTGGTCCACAAATGTTATTTGCTGTTCTGCAGGAAATTTTCTTTATCTCGATTAATTTTTCAAAGGTATAGGATATGAAGCATGTTATTCTTATCTGAAATTTGGAAAGACAACAGCAGTTGAATTTCTGTGATGAAAAAATGAAGAGTTGGCTTTTCTCCTGAAAAGAATTCAGACAAATCTTCAGCTGCTGAAATTAATTATTTCAAGCATTTATTTTATCCAAGAAACCTTTCTCAGACTTCTGCTTTCTAAATTTTTTTAAAGACATTCCATGTAGCTGCTTCATTGGTTCTTGATTTATTTTTCCTTAAAAATCTTTGGTTGGAGGACTTTGTAGCAGTTACTTAAAAATGTTCTGCAAGTCCGGAGAATATGTTACGAAAATTGTCTGATCTGAAAACATTTTTTGGAAATTTGCTGGTATGCAAAGAATGTTACTGAAATTTTGCTGATCTGCAGAAAACGTTTGGGAACTTAGCTGGTCCGCGGACCAAGAAATGTTGTGGCAAACTGCCTCACAGCATTCAGCATTTTTGCTCTTATTTAGCCACAAGAAAAGTTGGAATGTTGTGCATTTTCCATGCATACCTGGTTGAATATGTATGTTGAAGTTTGTGAACTTTGGTGGGGTGGTCTTCAAGATCCTGAATGGATCTTTGATTTGTGATGCACTAAAGGTTTTCAATTCTGCAAAAAGCAGGAGTCCTGCAGTCTTTTTATTTGTCTTCCACACATCTCTTTTCCGTATGAATCAAATGTTCCCTTTTCTATCCATGATATGTTTTTTGTGTGGTAAAATTGAGACTTTTTATTTTTGAAGCATGCAAACATTTGAGAATCATGCTACACTCTCAGAAAATGAGGCTATTATCTATTTCCTGGATGCATCTGAAAATGGAACAATGTTGAACCATCAGTATCCATGAAGTGTGAACTAAAAATATGAAACAATAATCAACGTCATTTCACGTTACACTCCCAATTCAGGTCCATACATTCTTCTTTTTCAAATTTGTTATCCTTGGTAATACAGTGAGACATCCAGATGTGGACAAAATTTGTGCATCAAGAGTGTCCCTATGTTGGATTGTCCCCAAGTTGAATCTTGCTTTCCCCTAGACTTACATTGTATAATTTTTAATTGGTGTTTTATGGAAGAAATATTCTTCAGAAATTCATGAAAAAAAATGTTTGCCACTTGAATTTGATTCAATGAATATTTTTTCAAACCAAAAGGAACATTTGGAGCATGGAATAGTGTACCTTGGCACAGGAAATTGAAAAGTTGGCATCTGGAAAAATAACATCCATGAAATGGATGGGAAAAGTACCAAAGAATTTTTCTTGCATATATCTTAGGTTGGAAACATCTGTTTCTTGCAATTCAGCCTTATAAAAATTTATTTTCCTAAAATTTATTTTGGAATTTTATCCTGCAATGTCCCCAGGTTGAGTCAGCAGTGTCCTCATGTTGGGTCTTTTTTATGATTTTTTTGCTGAAAAATAAATTTTGAGGTGTCTGCATGAGGGGGTCTCACTGTACAATATTTACAAAAAAAGGAGAGAAATTAAGGCATTGCAAAGTCGTCTCAAATTCGTGTTCACAGTGATTGTTTTACCTTGAAAGGTGGTTATTGCTATTTTGCAAGCATCCTTGGGTGATGATTTCTTTTTATTTGGACCTCAGTAACTTGAAAATTTTATATAATATATATATTAATATTTTTCTTCACCGTGAATATTTGCAGGAGCATTGAAACTGCCGGTATATGATGATGTTCTATTTTGCCTGTGGTACTATATCACCGCGTATGTGCAAGAGTAAGGATTACTTGAAAAAAGTAGCCAGAAGTAATTTCTTTTTAATCATATGCATGGTAAATTATTCATTCCCTGAAGAATAATTTTTCATGAACTTCAATATGGTACAGAAAATAAGAGTCCAGTAGAAAACCAGAAATGCAGAATGTGATCTTCTGGCATCAGAGTAAATGCACTCAATAGGAAGCCAAGAACTTTTCAATGAGTAGGAAAAATACAATATAAAATTGGAAAAAAACACAAATTTCAATATTTTCTACAGACGATGCAGTAGTTGGATGCATGTCCATTTCTTGAATTGTTGTCCAGAACGTTTCGTGGGTGTGGGTGTTTTTTTTTCAGTTCTAACATAGTGTACCTGAGCTAAAGCGTCCACTATAAATTACTTGCAGTACTGCTTACAGCAGTAATACGCGTTCCAGGAAATAATCATGATATATTATTCTCATGTCCATACATAATAATATCTGCATTTATTTTGACTGGGGAAACAAGTACATAATTTTCAGAGTAAGTAAAACTATAACCCCAGAATGGGAGGCAAGAAATAATCCAGAGGAGTGTTCCCCAATCCTGTGGTCCATGGACCAGCAATTGTTTCCCAGCCCTAATAAAGGACATATTTTCTTTAGAATGATAAATCCATGAAAAGTATAGCAATGAGGTCTGTCATCTTTATCTGAAATTTTGAAAGACAGTATTTGTTGCAATGATGTAGTGGAAAATGGAAGTGCTGCAGGCTTTTTTCTTAATAAAAATTCAGCCCAAAAATCCTGTTCAAGGATGCTGCGGAAGCATTAGCATATGATGGTTTAACCCGGCCCGTATGCACACATGCCAAGCGTATTCCAGTACAATCATGTTCATACCTTGATGATAGTCCCATACCCTCAATAATTAATTAATTCCAATGGCCATATATATGGGTTGTTATCATTCCATTGATAAGTCCAATCGACGCTTCAGCATCAGAGATACCATTTCTGAAAACCGCCAATTCTGAAAAGAAAAAAAAATACTAGCATCAGGAGTCTACATTTTTTTGTGCGTCTGCTGGTTTTCTCAACACTTTTATTCGAAGTCGTGGGATAATCTTTTGCTGACGAACTGATGGGTCTTGAATTTCTTTCGATTTTGAGAAAGAGTTGGGGGGGCGGGGTTTACATTTTGTGAAGCTCGCTATATACGCCCAAGTGAGCCGCAGTTTGTGGTGATGGTGCAATGTGATTCACCACAACAGGGAATTATCAACGCTTTAGCAGCAGGCCTGCGTCACGAAACTCGACGACAACCTGGTTTCACAGAGAAAAAAAATGACGCTGTACAGTCTTCATTTCGTTCTTCCTTTTCTATACTGTGCTTGCTTTCCCGCATGTACACCATTATTCTGTCAAGTCGCGAACAGCAGAAAATTCGTTGAAAAATCCTTGAGCGGTGTTCAGTTTTTCCTTGACATATTCCTTCGTCGTCGACGACGAGGGGGAATCTAATTGTTTAATGAACCTCGCTCAGCCGAATCGGAGCGAGCAGTTGGTGACGGCGGTTCAATAATGCAAGCTGTTATTGTCTGTCCCTCGCCGTCGTTCACAGTGAGAAAAAAGTTGTTGGTGATGGCAGCATCAGGCACATCAGTCTTGCCACTGCTGCTGGCATCATATATACCGCGGATGGCTTTGGCAACTAATCGGCTTTCAGTACATATTATAAAGCCTCTTTATTAATTGGAAAGCCGGGCCAAAGCCATCATCAGCAAGTGCTGTTGTCGGCGAGTTATATACAGCCCAAAAATCCAGTTATTGAAATTAAGAGACCGCGATGATATATGTACTCTGTATATCCCATCACATCAGCAGTTGCCTTTTGTTATATAAGTGCTACAAATAAAGTCATTGTCGTTATGCTTTCGGCTCTCCTCTGTTCATGACTTACAGAGTTTCCTTGCCCATGCTGTTTTTCTGGCATCAGGTATTATGCTGTATTGCGCAAGAGGAAATCATATCAAGAGTGAATAAGGACTTCATTTTCAACACGACTGCCCCACAATTAACAATCGAGGAGACGCACGTCTTCAGCAGCAGCCGGAGGCTTTTTTTTTTTTTGGAAGAACGCCTGACCCCAGGGACAATAAGTGCTGCAAGTACACTTCATTTACCTACTTCATATTTACAGTGAGCCCCCTTTTCAATAAGCACCCAAACATACAGAAGATTGCAGAACAGTATTTGACTTAGTTTTAGGAACACTTATTTGAAATGAAAGAAATCTGCCTCCAAGATCTAGACAGCGTGACTCTATAGATATGATGTACACTTTTTCAAAAATTTTAAGACAATAATTTAGAAAATTTCCTTTTCTTAGATTTTTATATATCTTGAAGAAATTCAATTTTAGCCTCTATACAAATGATGCTAGCAGCAAGAATGTTCTATAGTAAATTCAAATATTTCAATATAGTTGTCCCAAAAACGCAATGACTCATTTGCAAACTCAATTCACAATTTCATAGTAAACACCCCGTCATATATATAAGCATTCTGCTTGAATATAGAATGATGATCCGTGGATCAGAGGGCATTTTGATTAATTTCCCTGCTGGAACTGCGGTATACTGTACAGTATTTATATCATGTGTTATTTGAATTTGTTTGAGATTGGGTTTACAAAAGTTCTAGACAATCCATTTGGGCTGATCAAAATTACAATGCCAAATCCATTGCAATCTGCTGACATAAGGAAGGGAGCAAATTATAATGATATTATATATATTATTACAGGTATTCTTCATGAAAGAAAATCCTGTTACTTCTCTGTGGTCTATCAATCAACAACAGCATGACAAGACTCGAAAATTTCCCGATTTGGAGAATTCATCCATTTCTACTTCTGCTCCGCTGTTGGGCAATGATGGTGAGCCTAACTCATGATGAACGGTTGCTTCCCATTTTAATTGTTTTCAGGATTACCGATAACTTCTTTTCCTATATATACTCCCAATGACAGGCTGTGACCACAATAATTGACAGAGACAGAGTCCACATTGCTCAAGGCAAAGGCCGCAGCAGTCCAGCAATAGCAAGCAGATGATGCTATGCTGGTCAAGCGCAAGGCAAAGTTCTTGCAGTAGGATCCAATGAGACATTGATTGGTTCCCATGCAGCACAGGAAGAATTCATGCCAGGCTGGAAGGCGGGGTTTTTGAAACGGTGCAAGCTGATTTACATTTTGCAGCATTGATTTCTGCGTGTGTCCTTCACCGATATAACAGTACGAACTACATCCAGCCTGCGAGTCTCATTTCAAAGAGGTCAAATAAGTCTGCAATGTTCACTTACTTTTCTTGGATTGCACACATCACCAAACCCTGAAACATACTGCAATCTGAGAGAATATGACGAAGACCAGTGTTGCCCAACATCTTGACCCCGCACGCCCACAGCTTCAGGGGTGCCTTGAATGGGAATGGTGTTCACCTGGACCTGGACTGGGTCTACCCTGGCATCTGCTCCCAGCTTCAAAATGGCTACCTCCATTTTCACCGTATCATCGTTAATATAAGAGGTTGTGAAATTCGTAGCGCCGTGTATAATAGTTGGGTTGAAAGATAAATGACGTCAGTTGTTGGGTTGAAAGATGACGTCAGTTGTTGGGTTGCTTGGGATGGACTGCTCGTCCACTCCAGCAGTTCCATATGCAAGGTATGTCAACAGACCAGCCATAACCTTATTGTTTTCGGCGGCCCATGTGACTGGGTGCTCGGATGAGAAACTGGCCAGTACACAAGACATGCCTGTCATTGCACTTGCACAGTACAGTATATAAGAAGCAGATGAGTCAGCTTCATCACAAATAAATTCAACGTGTAAAATTTTTAGCCAAAGGTTTTGAGAGGCAAGTTTTGCAGCTGGCAAAACTTGCCCCTTAATCCTTGGAAGCATTGACTGCTGGTTGGGCAACACTGGTCTTGGTCATATATTCTCTCAGATTGCAGTATATATTTCAGGGTTTGGTGATACAGCATTTATGACTGCGTGCAATCCTAGAAAAGTGAATGAACATGCTATACAGCTCAAAAATGCCAATAAAATGCAACCTTTTCATAAGTGATTTTCAACCCCAGTGGGGAGCTATTTTGCTGTGACCCCACAGTAGGTGCACATCAGGGTCACAACTGGTGCATATATGGGATATTCTGGGTTTACAAGTGTGCACTCCTGTAAAAGAAATTTTGCTACCATTCCAGAGCTACACACGTGGTGCAAAAATGTGACATAACAGGAGTATCGCACAAATGCACCAACTGTAACCTTTGTGTAATTTATTTGTCTATACCAATGTGACCCTGAGTAATCTTGGTGTGAACACTCAATTGGTGCACATTAGGAATATGCATGTGAAAAAGAAGAACTTTGGTACACTTTAGGTGCACAGCAGGGTCACTGTGTAGAATTAAAAACATATCCCCAGTGTTCACCAATTCCCCCACTCTGGAATATTTTACCATTCCCAGAAACAGATTGTTCAAATGAATTGCAGACTTAATTGACCTCTTTGAAATGAGACTCGCACGCAGGATGTAGTTCGTACTGTTATATCGGCGAAGGACACATGCAGAAATCAATGCTGCGAAATGTAAATCAGCTTGCACCGTCT